TTACATGAGTGTTGGCCGCTAAACACATATTTACAGCACATACTAAAGAATCCTCTGGAACAAAACGATTCAGTAACTCTAAAGAACAGTTAAAAATATAAGGAATACCCCGAATACAGCTGGTGATACGAAGACAAACGAAATCCACTTACACAAAATACGAAACAAAGGAAGGGAGCGAGAGAGAGGAAGAAAATGGAGATGCGACACCGACAGAGAGGCTGAGGGAGAAACGGACAGATAGACAGAAAGAAAGAGTGACAAATAGAACCAGGCAGACAGACAACCAGAATAACCAAAGCAGCAACAATAAGTAAAAAGGAGTACCGAGGAACCCAAGGCGGTACTGCGGCACGACCAGGACGAGGTCGCGGTCCATGACATAGGAAGGGTCAATGTTCGCGGCGCCCCCGACCACGAAGCTGCCGCTGTGCAACCATACCACCACGGGCATGCTGACGTTTTGGCCATCGGCGGGCATCTGCACAAAGGAAGTTTATTTGTTCATTTGTACATGATGCTGTTTATTTTGTCTTTATAAGCCAAGCTTCATGGTTTGATGCAATGGGACTCTTCAATCTCTCCTTCCACCGTTGCATATAGTTCCCGTTTATCTTATCTTTATTCCTTTCTCTTTTCCCCTTTCCCTCGATTCCCTCTCCCACCCCTTCTCCCCGCCTACCTTGGGCGTATAAACGTAGAGGTTGAGACAGTCCTCTACGCCCGCGACAATCCCGAGGGCGGCCTGGGCACAGGGTTCGCCGTCCTTCGTGGCATCCAGCACTCCTTCCCACTCCATCCCTGGCACTGTGGGCTGTGGGCGCATGGAAGGAGGGTGGCGTCGCGAATACGGTTCATTAAGACTTTATACTTTCTTTATTGTTTTAAGGCATCTGAGAATTTAGGATGACTAGCAGCTTGAAGATTGTGAAGATGTGAAAGGGAAGATGAGGATGATTGCGACTGCGAATGTGAAGAGGGGAATGACTGCGATTATGAATATGAAGAGGATGAATGTGAAAGTAAATATGAAGATGACTGTGATTGCAAATATGAAAATAATTGCTACAGTAAATATGATGATGAGAGTAAATGTGACTGTGAATGGGAAGATGAAGAAGATGGTGGTTTTGATTGTGAACTTGAAGTGAGGATGACTGTGATTGTGAATATGAAGATAAGAATGACTGTGACAGTGAACATGAACACGGAAATGATTGTGAATGTGAATATGAAGACGAGGACGAGTGCCGTAGCATATCATAGACATGTTCCTAATTGTAATCAAAATAATCACGACCAAAACACTCACTGGCCTTTGTCTCGACTCACCATAAACCTCTTATCTCCAACGGGCGGCTGAGCATACGGTATTGCTTTGAAGGCGTGGTAATCCCGCCCATCTCTGCTCTTCAGGATCGCTCCCTTGACGACGCCCCCGCTCACACGCACCTCCACGCCCGCGCTTGCCCGCACGCCCATCATGGCCACCGCAATAGCCCATATCCACATCTGCAGCGTTGCCATGGCTGGGGCGAGTGCCTAGTCAGTATTACCGACATGAATTGACTGAGAGATCATGTGATTGCAAGAATATTCTGCAGTTGCGTGTGGGTATGTATATATATATATATATATATATATATATATATATATATATATATATATATATATATATATATATATATATATATGTATATATATATATACTTCCTCTATTACACTATATTCTGGAACAAGCCAGTTAAGATTTATAAATATCAGTGATAGTGACGGTGCCATCAAACACTACGACATCCGTGGCTTATTGCACCTCTCCATCTATTAGATACAATAAACTGTCTTAAATCATATGGATAATGTATATGTTTCATCCTGTGATATTAATTTATCGAATAGTAAAAAAATAATGGGATACATTTATATCTGATTAACCAATGACTAGCAATAGATTAAGAAAAAAAAGAATATCCGCCTCAAATTAAAACTATAAAGTCCAAATTAATGCAGAACGCACCTTTCTTCCTCAAGGCAATTACCGGGCTGCTTGGAAGTGCCTGAGTGTCTTCAGTCACTTCACAATGATAACACGTGGCTTTTGACTGTGGTTGGGGATGTACGTGTGTGTCAAGTTAGCCCACGTCTACATCTTGCATTTAGCGATAAGGTACTGGGAGATTCCCCATCCACTCTTTCCTATCTTTCTTCAGGTGCGGATTTCTCATCTTTATCTCGGATGATCTGGTCTTGTGGCTCTTTCTTCCTTGCGTTTCTCCTTTTTCGTTACCTTTCTCGTTTCTTGTGCGTTTCTTTCCTTTTGCGTTCGCACGTTTATTTTTTTCTCTCTCGTTATCTTTTCTTTTCTTTTTCCATTTACTTTTCCTTCATTTTTTGTTGTTGTTGTTGTTTTTCGCTTTTTCCTTTTCTGTTTTCTTTTTTCTTTTCTAGTTCTTAGTCCTTTAATTTTATGTTCATTTTTTTTTATCTCTCTCTCTCTCTCTCTCTCTCTCTCTCTCTCTCTCTCTCTCTCTCTCTCTCTCTCTCTCTCTCTCTCTCTCTCTCTCTCTCTCTCTCTCTCTCTCTCTCTCTCTCTCTCTCTCTCTCTCTCTCTCTCTCTCTCTCTCTCTCTCTCTCTCTCTCGTCTTGCAATCTTGCTGACCTGCGTTCGAATCCCTCGCCACCAGTGGATGGTTACCCCGACCATTCCTTGCACACAGGGGATAATTTAGAAGCAAAATAAAACAGACAGTATGTCACACCAAGAATATCCATTGTAACAAATGGAATCAAAGTAAATTATTTTTTTTATTATTTTTACTCTCTCTCTCTCTCTCTCTCTCTCTCTCTCTCTCTATATATATATATATATATATATATATATATATATATATATATGTGTGTGTGTGTGTGTGTGTGTGTGTGTGTGTGTGTGTGTGTGTGTGTGTGTGTGTGTGTGTGTGTGCTCGTATGGCTAATGCTTTAAACAAATAAATGTGCTAGACAGCAATGGTCATATAATACAATGGTAAAGAGTGGTGAAAGGGGTTTTAAGTTCATTTTAACAAAATGTCTTAAATTTCAGCGGTCATGCGGATTAATAGAAGGGATAAAGGGTGATTAGATCAAATGGAAGGTATTTATGAGTCTGAGAAAGGGGAGAAGAGGTCCGTTGAAAAGGTATGGATTCCGTGTGGATGTCCGACAGGTCTGGGAGTCGGAAAGAGAGGACAAGTAAGGAAAAGCGAGGGTACGGGCTTCAGTAAAGAGAGGGCAGGATAGTAGGATATGTGGGACTGAGAGAGGAAAATTGCATGAGGAACACAGAGGTGGGTTGGAACATGACTTAAGGTATGACTCTGTGAGGCGCGTGTGACCTGTTTGTAAAACGGGCAAGGGCAGTTTCCCAGCGTCTGTTCTGGTGATGTGCCGACCAAGGACAGGTACGAGGTTTTATGGTTTGTAGTTTATTGGTGGTCAGACCTGATCAGAAAGATTACCAACGGTTATAGAGGCATGTTTTCAGATGAGGGTAGTACTCGGTGGCTGGGATGTGTGAAAAGCGGGGTTGGTGTGTTGTGAACAAGACGGAGGGAGCCAAGGCATCTGCTTTTTCATTGAAAGGGATCCCGATATGGCTGGGTATCAAGCAAAATTTATCTGTTTATTGTCGTGTAGACAGATAAAACAACTGATACTGTATTTACGGACTATAGGGTTGACAGGGTGTATGGACTGTCTGAGTGATATTAAGTTGCACGTGTCAGTAAAGATGAAGGATGAGGATGGAAGAGGATAGCGTATAGTTCTGTTGCAAGGACGCTCGATTCAGGCGGAAGTGGAAAATTGTACATGTGAGTGAGAAAGACTACAGCGAAACCAGAACCAGAGGTGGGTTGGGAAGGACCTCGCTCGAAATTGAAAATGCGTGGTGAAAAATAACAGCAATTAGAGAAGTTGATTCCTATTTAGAATGTCTCAAGTAATTTATATCTTATACTGTGGTTCACTGCCATACAATCATACTGATGCCACTGAAACAACGAAAAAAGAGAGAAAAGTTGAATAGAATCAGAGAAAATGAGTGGACGTACAAACACTCCGTTTCATTGTGCTTTTTTGTTGAACATAAAAACGCGTAATATAGACGCGTAAAAAGGCTCCAAAATATCCTGCTTTGTTTGCAATTATTCCATGTAAAGATTAAAAAATGTCTAAATTCCAATTGTTGAGACATTCCTGGACAATGAAAATTTTTGGTCAATTCCAAAAGTCGTCTTCCGTAGAAAAGTAAAAAAAAAAAAAATGGCCAATGTGAAATATTTCGCAAAGAATTTTCCGATTTTTTTTTTTTTTTTTTACAATAACAAAAACAGAATAAGACACCTTCATTTTCAAAAGGATAACTGAAATCATAGTCGAAAATGTGTCTACACTGTAGCTTTCCATTTTCATCATTTTGCATGAATTATTTGAAGACATCAAAGTGACGACAGCACATCGTGTTAAACCCATGCTTGAAGCTGCCTGTGTACCACGAGTGTCCACTGGCAATTGCTGTTTACGTTTTGAACCCGAATTTGTTATAATTTTATCTAAAATCGGGTTATCAATTCTTTTCCTTAAAAAATGGACGGCAACCCATGTTTCCTCTCTCAACATTTTGCTGAATTAGTTGTAATTAAGGACACGAATATATTTTACAGTCATTTGTATTGGTAGTAGCAGTGGCATGGACTACGTTAAATGCTTTGGAAAAAATGCAAAATCTGCTATTTTACCCTTTTAAGATAATTACGAGACTGGTAACAAAACTAATGATGTATAAATAAACAAAAGAACTTTCTTCTTATGAACTTTTTACTGTCGATAGTTCTTGAGTCTTATAAATGTATTGAAATTTTAAATGACTTGTATTTTGTTTTTTAATCTCCTACAGGTATGTGGTGTTCAGCATGTGTAACTGCTAAAGTAAAAATAACAACTTATCTCTTTTATTAATAACCAATACTCTTACAGATATCATATGTTAATTCATTCATGCATTTCTGTGTAAATATTATTTGCAAGCACCTTTATTGTTGAATACTCTACGAGTTCTTTCAGTTAATGTAAGCATCTACAGTTTAAACTATTTACAATCTTCTTATATACTAACTGTAATCACTTTATAATTGAAAGTTTGCTAAGCTTTTTTGCAAACATGAAACTAAATGCACAAACAATACTTTATGGAATTCCACACACACAAAATTCCCTCGTATGCATGCACATCATATTTCACACTGGAATTAATAATGCCATGGTAATTAAGTTCTGAATTTAAATGCAATTTCAAAGAATATAACTGTTTATTCAAAAAACAGGTTTGGGTCATTCCATCATCATACAGTTTATGAAAAAAAAATCTTTCATATGAGTTTTCCTTTTTCCTTTGCTTAGAAAACAATGACATCATACCTTGTTATCAAATAATAGCTCTTTGCTTCAAGGAACCCCTCCATAGGAACCATGTAACTTTTAAAAATTATATTAGAGGCACAAGTAAATAAGTATGAGATACCTAAAAAAAAAAAAAACAATACCAGGGTAATTTTTTTCAGGTGTAAATATAAAGAACTATGATTCGGCAGACAAAAAACAACATTTTTAATAACATTTCAGTCTGAAGTACATTAGACAAAAGTAGAAAAAAAATTACCTAAGATAAAAAAATAAACAAAAATTAAAAGACAAAGATATACATATTATGGTGATACATTTTGATGAACAATCAATCTTTCAAGAAAGTACTGTTAATATGGTAGTCTGAAAAAGGTGAATGGGGCATATAAAAAAATAACACCTAACTGTCATATAAGATTTTTTTAGATGATGAATATTTAAAAAAAAAAATGCAAACACCTTGAATAACAAGCTTCAAGTTTCATAATGAATTAAATGAACATTGTATCATGCATGTCAACACAAAGGGACTTAACCTACGAATCTGAATAATAATGATTTTTCATTCAGGGTACTGAAAAAATTATGTGAAGTTTATCTGAATGAAATATCTGAGACATGCAGAAAACTAGAGAACTTGTAGATGTTAAAATACAATTAAGGAGGGAGGGAGGGATGGGAGGGAAAGGGGGGAGGGGAGGGGAAGGGAGGGAGGGGAGGGGAGGGAGGGGAGGGGAGGGAGGGAGGGAAGAAAAGAAGGAAGGAAAAGAAGGGAGGAAAGAAGCAAGGAAAGGAGGGAGGAAGAAGAGAAAGAGCAAGTGAAAGGGAGAACAAGAGGGAATGAGAGCATGAAAAAATGAGAGCATGGGATAATGAGAGAGAATAAAATAATAAGAGAATGAGAGAGAGAGAGAGAGAGAGAGAGAGAAAGAGAAGGAAGGAAGGATTAAAGAAAGAAAGAAAGAAAGAAAGAAAGAAAGAAAGAAAGAAAGAAAGAAAGAAAGAAAGAAAGAAAGAAAGAAAGAAAGAAAGAAAGAAAGAAAGAAAGAAAGAAAGAAAGAAGAAAGAAAGAAAGAAAGAAAGAAAGAAAGAAAGAAAGAAAGAAAGAAAGAAAAAAGAAAGAAAGAAAGAAAGAAAGAAAGAAAGAAAGAAAGAAAGAAAGAAAGAAAGAAAGAAAGAAAGAAAAACATAAATTACTTGCTCATTAAAACCAAATAATAAAAAATAAATACTTTTGTCTTTTACTGACACCATTTAAATAGCTGCTATTTGCATAATGAGGTAGAGTAAGTAACCCCTTATTACAAAGTTATGAATCCTCAATAGTATAGATGGTAAGACAACATAACAACGAGAGCAGATAAAAGGTGATCAGAAAAATAAAGTCGGTCTTTCAAACACTGTGTTTACAAATTGTGGCTAGGATTAATAGGATTAAGGATTAATGTGTATACTTTCTCTTGTTTTGTAAAAAATATTTTTTTTTCCACAGTGCATACATTCCAATTACTAATTCTAAATGCAAATTGATAATATACATATAAAAATTACCATCCATACACATTAGATTAGCAGCCAATTCATATTACATTTTCTCATTTGTCAGATTGTAAAGTGATCAGATCTTATTTTTATTGCAATAATGAAAGAAATAAGCTTGCAATGTATTTACACGCCATTATGGCATTTTGCATCAGACCCCTGTTTTGAGGGCC